GATGCTGCTGGGTCACCCAGTTTCTGAGTCTCAGCGGGCCCCAGGACTGGGAGGCAAGAGGGCCCGGGAGAGGCAGAGGCACAGTGACGCTTGTCCTGTCAGCGTCAGCCGGGTGCTGGCTCCCTGCACACCCCACTCTTGTTTCATCGTGACTTTCCTCCCACGCTGCCTCCAGTATTTAGAGAATCGAGCAGTCACTTGGCCGCTATTAACCGCCTCTACTTCGGCTTAGTGCTCGCAGCCTCCCCAAGGATCGTCTTCACAAACGGCCCCCCGTGCACGCGTGTAGTGGACACCACCCTTGTGCCCCACCCACAGACATGGGCTTCTTTCGCTGAGTCCAAAACCGTGGCCTGTGCTCCTCATTTTCCTCAGCACCTCGGTGGCGTGTGCATCGGGCCAGCCCTCCTCCCCAGCCCCGCACTTGGCTTTCCCTCCTGCTGCGTGGGCTGCGTGCCATGCTCCACTGTGGGGTAGGGGATCCTTGGTAGGGGTGCCTACCATCTTCACCAGGCTGCCACAGCTGTGCGAGCTGAAGGCTGCTCCCTGGAAAGGGGCCCCAGGGCCAGGCTGCCAGGAGGCGGGGGAAGTGCGAGAGCTGCCGGTCCTGAGCGGCAGTCTGGGAGCTCGTGTGTCCAGGCAGCAGTTGCTCATTAGCTGCTGCTGCTAAGAATCTCAAGTTAAAATGTTCATTTCAATTTGTGAGAGGAGCTGGCTTCTTGAGGAGAAGGGTCGGAGCAGGACGAGGGGAGGAGAGAATGGCGAGGAGAGAAATCTGGGCCAGGACAAGGCAGAGCTGGCAGGAGCCTCCCTCCGGGGGTCTGGGGGGCGGCAGGGTGGGGCCCTTTCAGCAGGAGGCACGGTTGGTGCAGACACCCTCCTAGGGCTGCTCAGGGGGGGCAGCACCGAGTGGCCCGCAGGGGAGGCAGCCACGGCCACTTTGCTGGCACCTGAATGTTGGACATGGACAGAAACAGAGCCGCTGCCTTGGAAACGTAGAGCGGGAGAAAGGAGCTGCTGGTCGTGATGGCCCCCGAGGGAGACGATCAGCAGGCGGCGGAGAGGACACAGGACCAGTGGAACGGAGACCGCCAGGAGGAGCCGGACAGCCAGGCTGGCCACGCTGGACTCAGAGAAGGACACGTGGGCAACGGCAGAGAGGCCGTCCGCCTTCTTGGTGGTTTCACAGGCAGGGATGGGGCAGAATCGTTGACGTTCCTGTGGAGAAGGTGAAGCTGCAGCCCAGGGAGATGAGTAGGGACAGCCTCAGAACCAGGCTCCTGAGCTCCAGTCTGGTTCCGGCCCCCCACCGTCCCACCCGCTCGCTCTGTCTGTTTACCCGGCGGGGCCAGAGTCCACGCTAGGAATGCTGGTGTCCCCACGACCCTTGTCCTTGGCTCACAGATTTGTCACCTGCTAAATTACCTGTAAAACGTGTACAGCCCCTTTGACCTGCTTTCTCTGGGTTCCTCATGGTGTCCCTTGTTTGGAGAGAGGCTTTTATCCCAGTGGTTGGCGTGTGTGAGTAAGAAATTCCTGTCAGCTCCCCTATGAACACCTGTGGCTTAGAATGGAGTTGCTTCCAGAAAGGCCCTCTGTTATGTTGCCAGAGAGTACACAGAAAAGCCCCAGCGGGTTGCCACTTGGGTTCCTTAGACACAAAGCCCAACACAGTCCCAGATTCGCTCTGCCCTGTCACTGGCCTCAGTTTGCTGATATTCACATGTCCGGTCGAGCTCAGAATCAGGTAGACAGCCTGGGACGGCTCCAGAGTGTTCTCAACAGGTGTTGACGCTGGGCAATGTGATGAAACCGGAAGTTTAATTTCCTGTTTCTTCACCCTGACTGAAACCCCACGGACCCTGGCATTTTGAAAGTAAATGGAGGCGCCCCGGACTCACCCCTGACCTAGTTTGTCACCGTCCCGGATAGGGCCCAGGTGTGTGCTGTTTCCCAAAGGTCATCTAGCTGGTGACCAGGATCGGCAGCTGACGCCTTCGCTCCGGACTCGGGGTCTGGGGCCGATCGGGGCCTCCACTGGCGCCTCATCTTGCACCTCTGCTGTCAGTCGGGGCAAGTCCAGCCAAGGCTTCCTGTTTGTTTTGTAATTGTCTGGCCTTTACAGTTAGCAGATTTCACTCCTCCTCACCCCAAATTTGTCTTCTCTTGGAAAATTAGAAGATTTGGCAAAATCAGGTTTGCACGGTGAACTGGCTGAAAGGGAATCACGGCTGCCCCTTTAAAGCAGGCGAGTACGTCACCCCCCTTTTCGTTACGACATCCACCTGTTCCCAGCCTCTCCGCACCCCAGGCCCCTGGCGTTGCCATTGGCCTATGCTTGTGAATTATATTTATGCTCTGAGTGGAGGGATGCTAAAGGTAATTTTCCCACTCCCCCCCAATTAATTTTAGTTCCAGTAAGGGAGCCAGGGATTTATTTTTATTATAAATTTGCTTTATGTTCAATCATGTTTATATATGCTCAGCATCAGAGCAATAAAGTGCAAAATTAAGGAAGCATTGTCCAGAGAAGTGAAATTCATGTCAGCTCAAAGACTTGTCCGAGGATGTTCTCAGCTTTTTTATTCATAATTGAAACGGGAAACATGGCTTTGGGAGATTCTGTGTCTTCTCTCAGAGTCACTCACTGATGTCTCTTGTACCAACAGAGGCGATTCGAACCTGTGAGCAGCTTTCACAGAGCCCCGTCGCCAAGCTCCCCTTCTTGTCCTGTCCAGGTTAGGCCTGTAGTGAACCCTGTCTGCGGTTTCTTGCCCATGCCTGGTGGCTCCTCTGCTCGGGTGTCATCTGCTGGTCACTTCCCAATGCCCTGAATGGCAGCAGAGGGGCCTGGTGGGCAGGGTCTGCCTACAGCCCCTAGGGCTGGGGGAGGGGCAGGGAGCTGCCTGGGGGTGTTTTGGGGGGGCTTCAGGCTGCCACCTCTGGGCTCCTCCCAGCGCCACGTTTGTAGGAACGTGGGGCCAGTTTTCTTATGCTGTGGCGTTTTCTTATTTGGGGAGCTGGAATGCAGGCAGCTTTACTTGAGGGAGGCTCTCATGGTGGAGCCAGACACCCCAGGGTTCGCATTCTTGGCTGTGATGTCCAAAGCTTTGGTCCAGGTCCAGGAGCGCATGGACAGGAAGGAATGTGTGACGAGGGGTCGTTCCCTTCCACTCTCTTCAACCTGTGGAGGGGTGGCGGCGCAGCAGGGGAGGCAAGAGGGGGCCTCTCAGGGACGGGTCCTGTCCTAGCTCTCGCTCACCACTCACAGCTACGTGGGGAGCCAGAGGCAGAGGGGGGCTGCAAAGTTGTGCCTGAGTCTCCCACTGCCTTGGCCCCCTGGGCCCGCGGAGGCCCCGACAAGGTGCTTTTCTGCACCAGGGTACGTGCGCCTCACTCTGCAGACTCCCCACTTGTTCTGCACCCCCTGTATTTGTTTATAGGGGTCTCCTCAGGGCCTCACTCTCCGCAGCCCACTGACAGTGGCACACTACTCCTTCCGTGTCCACAGAAAGGCCTGGTTTCCCGAGGGGCGCAGCGGTCACATTCAGGGGCATTTGCGACCATGGGTTCAGCAATGCATGGAGAGAAGAAGGCCACAGAGGAGACCCCCTTCCCCAGCAGTCTCTTTCTCATCTCCAGGGAACATAAATTCTGCCTTGGGGAGAACAGGAAAGAGAAATCTTCAGAAAATCTTGTCTGACAGTCTCCAAGCCAGGGCGGCTAAGCTTAAAAACACCCATGTACATGTCCACCCTCTAAGATTCTGAATATTTGTTCAGCAAAAAAGCTCAGCTTTGGGCCCTCCCTGGTGGCGCAGCGGGTTGAAGCACAGCATTGGGGGGCTAAAGCCACTTCAGCATGAGTTCAATCCCCGCTCGCCCTGGAGGTGACCCACAGGGCGCGGCAGACCTCTCCTGACCCGCCCGCTGCTCCCCTCAGCAGTGTGCCTCAGTAGATCTGCCTGTTCTGCTCCCCACTCTGTCTTTGGTGAATCCTTTCACCACCCCTGCACCTCTGGCCTGTACCCCAGTTCTGGATGCACAAATAAATACACTTTTTTTTTTTATAAAGCTGAGCTTTGGTACCCCAAAGCTGCCCATTGGACAGGGGAGGGCTGAAGCCCTCTGCTCTCTAGGGTGCGCCTGTGTGTTGTTGAGTAGACACCAGGATCCACTCGGGCAGCAGGAACCTGGCCACTTCCTTGTGGTAGTGACCAGCGACTTCCTGGTTCTCAGCGGACACATGCCCCATCAGGTAGAGGTCCGGAGGCTCAGCTATAGAGAGTGACTTACAAGGCGGAATTTTTTGGCTTGTGAAACTCAATGTCCATATACAATATTAGAAAATCAGGGTTTTTCCCTTTGTCTATGAAAAGCAGGATGACGAAAATCGATCCTATGTTCCACTTTGTGAACTGAAGACCGTTTTCCTAAGTGCTTATTTGGCAAAGCACACACGCGAGGAAGCCACTTAGACGGCTACACAGCTAGGCTGAGAGCCGCCGGGCTGTGCCGAGGTGCAGACTGCATGGGCAGGTCAGCAAGGCTGTGTTGGTGTTTCTAAAGAGAGCAGTTACGTGTTTAAGCGAAAAATCTGCCCAGGACATGGAGTTCTTCACAGATAGCAAGTTGTCAAAGAGCCGCTAATGAATGTAGCGGAAGTTGTCCTGAAAAGAGAGAGAAACGTGCAAGTTGTAAGTGCAGCAGAAACGCTGTTGCGCAAGGCGCTGTGAACACAGCAAGAAAGTGGAAGGGTAATGTGTGTGCAGAAAGTTTTCACCACGGTGACATTTGTGGTTTCAGCTGACGAGGGGCCATGTTTAGTGATACTTGGATGTAATCATTAGCTCTATTTATTCAGTGTGGATTCGAGCATTTTTCTCTGACTGAAAATATTGGACAATGTGCCCATGCCTGGCGCACACCAGGAAGTCACGAAGAAATTCAGTGTGGTGCTAGAGGCGGCTTCCCAACAGTTTAATGGAGCCCCCCCCCCCACCTGGGAGAGAGGGGGCTGATGTTGGACTGGAACCTGAGTTCCGCATGGCCGGGTAGGTAAGGACACGTCCATGCACACACTCAGATATCCCGTGGGAACTGTTTTCTGCTACAAATTAAAAATAGAACCCGTCTTGGGCCCTCCTGGTGACGAAGAGGGTTAAAGCACAGCACTAAGAAGCTAAAGCCACTTCCGCATGAGTTCGATCCCCGCCTGCCTGCCCCGGAGGTGACCACATGGCGCGGCAGACCTCTCCTGACCCGCCCGCTGCTCCCCTCAGCAGTGTACTTCGACACTCTGCCGGTTCTCCTCCCCACTCTGTCTCTGGTGAAGCCTCTCAACCCCCGCACCTCTGGCCTGTACCCTAGTTCTGTATGCACAAATAAATAAATCTTAAAAAAAAAAAATAGAATTCATCTTGGACACGGAGCTGCCACCTGTGAGCGGGATCCCTCCCGGGACGTGGGCCCACTTTGTGCGTGGTTTGGTGAATCAGACACGTGTTCCAGCCGGCTGCTCAGTGCACAGTAGGGAGTCTCATTCGTGACCCAAGTTGAAGAATTGTTGAATTCATTCTCATTGTCTGAGGGGAAAAAAAAAAAATCCGTGTTTACCCTGAGCAGCAAAGATTGTTTTCCATCACAGCCTCTGGGTTGAGAAGCACTTTGGACAGTTTCCACAAAGGCAGCTGTGAAAACATCACGGAAAGCGGGCTCTGGCCCGGGCTGTCCTGACTCTTGTCTGTGCTGCTATTAGTGTCTGCAGATGTTAACTGGTGGCCTGAGCCCATCAGGGAAATCATGATGCACCGAAAACTGGCTCCCCACGTTGGCTTCTGGTGGCTTTGAGACCCTGTGAAGAGAAGCCACCCCCTCGCCCCCCTCCCCCCTCAGTCTACCTAGGGTGTAGAAGAGGATCCGCATTGTGCCCCAGGTCGGAAGCTGGGGACCAGCAGCTGTGAGAGATTTTCTGAAATCTTTGAAGGTACCTGTTTTTCAACTTCTCTTATTAACTAAAGCAAACCTAAACATCATGCCTAGCCAAGGCTGAATTCTGTGTTCACATCAAACTGGATACGAGATTTAACAATGAAGTGTCAGTGCCAAAGGAAAAAACGCAGATTTCTGGTTCCAAAACAGAAGTTAACAAATGGTAAAATAAAATGTGAAAAGGAAAGTGTTTCTATTATATGTGTTTAAAATATATATTTTCAAATTTAAAATGCAATTGTCAATAGCACACATATATGTATTATGCTGACAGTCACGGTTAAAGAAAATTAGTTACTTATCCTGGCACTTGTTTTTCTTACCTCGGATATGTTCACCCACAGCTACTTATGCCCCTAACGTTTTCAGAGACTTCTTCAACTCTTGGGACAAAGAATTACGCCCTAGCTCTGACGAGTAGCGGGCACGTTTCACCACGAGGTGGCGTTTCTGAGTCTTTGGAAAACGGAGCAACTACTGAAATCGTCCACTAGTGGGCGAACATGCTCTTTCTTTCTGAACAGGCTCAAGGAAACCTTTCCTGTTTTTGGCAAGTTGGCTGAGTGTCTTACCTGCGCAGGAAAGCTCTGAAACTTTATACTCACAACGTTTTTTCAGACACCTTCCATGAGAAAACTCTTCTACCAGCAGACTGGTTAATACTAATTTTTGAAAGATACGTTGCCAATAGAATCTACTAGATTCCTAACTAGACCAACTGTAGCTGCCCTCAGCATCAGAACACCAGGATACCCGTGCTGCAGGTGTCCTGAGGCTTGGTAGAGGTGAGTGAGCTAAGGTGCAGGAAGCGAAGGGAGTGGCACCTGGTGGTGACGTCATCTCTAGACTGTCAGGTGATGCATCACTGCTGATTCCTTTAGCTTTGTCTTTGGGTTTCTATTCAAGTTCACTGTGAATGTTCTCTTTACCAAAAGGTACTTACTTGAGTAATTAGTAATCATCCCACACAGGAAAGGGCTATGAGATCTCATATAGAGGTTGTTCAACAATTTTTTTTTTGAGCATAATAAATTAATGATTTGCCGCACTGAGGAGAAACAGGCATACAATGGCCATTGTTTCTAAACAAAACTGAAGTCTTTTGTATTCATTTCTCCAGCAAATATTTATCGAACTATAGAAATGATCCCTGAAAGTATAGTCTTAGCAAATATTTATCAAGTGCCTGTTATGTCCCAGGCACTGGAGAAAAATTGTGAACAGGACAATTTTTTTTTCTAAGGATTTACAGAACTGGGGTACAGGCTAGAGGTGCAGGGGCGGTGAGAAGATTCACCAGAGACAGAGTGGGGAGCAGAACAGGCCGACTGACGAAGTACACTGCCAAGGGCAGCAGCGGGCGGGCCAGGAGAGGTCTGCCGCGCCATGTGGGTCCCCTCCGTGGCAGGCGGGGATCGAACTCATGCTGGAGTGGCTTTAGCTTCTCAGTGCTGTGCTGTAACTCCCTGCGCCACCAGGGGGTGCCAGCAGGACAAATTTTTATCTTCATGAAACTTAGTTTAGTTTCTGTTGGGGTGGGGAGGGAGTTTGGGAAGAGCAGATAATACATTAAACACATACATTTCAGATGATGGTAACAGCCACAGAATGTATAGATTTTCAACAAGGGTGCCAAGACTATTAAGGGGGGGGGGAGGAGGAGTAGTCTTTTCAGAAGACTATTGAATATGCAAAAAATAGTTAGCTTTCTATCTTATACCATATACAAAAAATTAACTCAAAATATCAAAGACTTAAATCTAAGAGCTAAAACTGTGGAATTCTTAGAAGAAAATGTGCATAAATCTTTGTGATCTTGAATTATGCAATGGCTTCCTAAATCTGACAAAGAACAAGCCATGAAATAAAAATAGGAAAATTGGACTTCATCAAAATTAAATGAATCTGCGCATCATAGGACACTATCAAGAAAGTGAATCTAACCACATAAAAGGAGAAAACGTTTGCCAATCATCTCTCTGGTAAGGGGCACCCGAACTGCAATGCCAGGCACAGGGAGCAGGGTCTTGCTCCCCAACCCCATCTCCCTACCCCTGGCATATGCTGAACGTGCCCGTAAGGTTCAGTTTTCCCCAGATGACCCTCAGAGGCCAAAGAGCTCTTTAATTGCCTTGCATGAGGGCTTTACAACGTTGGCCCTGCTTACATTCTCGATAATTCTTCGTAGGAACCTGTACCAGGCATTGTGGGGCTCCCTGATCTAAAATGTCTCCAGACATGTCCAACTGCCCCACCAGGGGGCAAGAGCTGCCCCACGTTCTGCACAGCTTTGCAGAAATGTGCCCTGCCAGGCCCGTGCGGTCTGGGCGCCACACCGTGTCCCTCGGCCTGCACACTGCGCGTGGGACCCCATGGCTCACCTTGGGGTGCTCGCAGGCCAGCTCCTGTTGGCAGCCCCGGGAGCCTTCCCTTCCCCTTCCATCCTGGGCGCAGCCCTCCTTCTTGGACTTGCTGTTCCTGGCGAGCAGTGGGCCACTCTGACCTCTGCTTCTGTCCCATCTCCCCTTCGGATTCGGTGACTGTCTTTTATCTATGAAGGGTCACACAGTGGGAGGGCTTTCAACTCCTTTATATAGGCCCTCCCCCCATAAAGGCCCTTGTGAGGACCCACCGGGGGACCCAGATAATCTGCCCATCCACTTGGTTCCCTTCACCCTGGGGAGCTGGGTGCTCAGGTACTAGAGGTGCTCTTCTGCTTACCACCATCTGTGTTGGGGTGCACACCACCAGAGGGCACCGAGTAGCCGTTGGCACCCCCTTTTGGTAGGGGGTACCATGTGCTTCCCGACTCCCTGTCCTGGCTGGAGAAGGGGGGAGAGGGGAGAGGACACTTTACAGTAGGTGGGAGATGAGGGATTTGACTACAGCTGGGCTGAACTTTATTTTCTGATGGAAAACGGCGCCATCTGTACTTCTGACACGTGTGGACATTCACAGGCTCCTGGCCACGGAGCGCCTAGAGCCTCAGTCAGGGGAGCCGTGTGGAGAGAAGATCGTTCCCGGCGGCCGGTGCTAGGATCCAGCTCAATGACAAATCTGGCATTGGGATCGTTGGGAAGCGCTTTCAAAATCCTGTTGACTCACCCCACCGCAGAAACCGGAAAGACCCTCTCCCCCGGGAAGGGGGGTGAGCTAGGTCTGTGTTCCTGTGCTGGAGGCTGGAGCAGCCCACGGCTTCCCAGTTTTCCCAGGAACACGGGATGATATTTTTCATACTGAGAAATTTGGAGGGAAAGAGGTAGAAGGAGAGAAGAGGAGGTAGTGGGGAGGGGTGGAAAGAGCCCATGACATTCACAAGGCAGGAACCAGCAGCGGTGGTTAGGATGGCGCTGGCAGGCAGAGCTGGGGCATATGGCCTCTGCGGGAGACGGGACAGCGCCTGTCTCCGCCGCTCTGAATTAAACTTTAAAATGCTTCCCACTGAGTAAATGTCTGGCCCGCAGAAACCCTGCGATGGTAACCAGGAAACTTTGGGGCTTCCTGAGGACACCAAGTAGCGATCTGAAGCGGATTCTCTGCTTGCGAGGGGGGAGCCTGCCTCCTTCACTGCTGGTCCCCATAACACTCCCAAGGACGAAAGCTGCTGGTGGCAGGCAGTGGCTAGAAGGAAAATGACCTGTGACGTTTTATTACGTGATCGATGTGTGTGTCGTTGTGAGGATCACTTGAAGCCTTCAAAAGTGATCAGTGTGTTCTATGAACAGTGCTTCCACAGAGAGAGAGAGAGAATTTGGGCTGAGGAAAAAAATTGGGGAGGTGGGGGGAGAATGTGGAACATGAAAAATGACTGCGTTCTGTGCAGGACACGAGATGCTGGTGTGTGGGGGTGGGGTGGGCTACTCCAGATAAAATGCAGCGGGCAATGAGAATAAAAATAAAGCACGCAGATAAGTCGTGCCAGTGACATCAGCTGAGGGCCTGCGACGCACACCCTGCAGAAGGGGGCCCCAATTCTCAGAGAGAAGAACCAGGCTCCAGAGGGTGTGGGGAGAGGGCTTGTTTGCAGCA